GTACCGGCTGGCTGCTGAGAAGCACCAGGCGTTGTGGACTAGGGCAGTTTCAGGAATCGCTGCAGCTGGACCGCTACAGTACTATTCAATGTAAATTCAACATTTCCTCCTTGTACTGAAGTTGGATAAAGAGTAGAAAAGTCTGCAACTCAGTAACACGCTCTCCTTTGATCTGCCTTGTCTATCACAACCAACATCACAAGCAGGCAAGTGTAACCAAAGTCTTCATAAGCGCAGAACGACAGCATAAGAGCAAGAAATGGAGAAGAAATGAGAACCCAAGCTTAGTTTACCTGTGTTGGTTTTTATCTCAGTGTTCCTTTTGAAGTTTATAAAGAAATTACTGCCAAAAGATGCAGTTTAGTCTAAAAATTTCATTTCTGACATTAACAAACGCTCTCTACTGCATCAATTAGACAGCCAAGTACCTGAGTGTTACGGCACGCTCAGGATATAGCTTTAGCAGTCTTGACTGCTGTTACATTAGTTTTCCACACAGGTCTAATTCTCAGTGTTTTCTTCTTCTTGAGACACTTCGGGAATAGCTTTCTCAGCTAACTGCCCTATTTTGTCTCAATACAACCAGATTAAAAACTGCCATAAAAAGCATAGTCCTTAAAACACAGGCCTAAACTCCACCAAACCTTGCACCTTCATTCAAGCAGACTTGAAATTAACTGATAAAAGAAAACACATCATCAGAATAGTTACTGAAAAATCAAACTTGATGAAAACAGAATTTTAAACTGCTGTTTTAATCAATCAATCAATGTTTGCATCAGATTATCATAACTGTACACCAGATATTAAAGGACTATTTAGGACTAATGCCCTCATCAGTAGGCTCATCTATCAGCATGACCAGAACATGAGAGGATCAGTGTTTAGCTGGCACTCAAGTACAGCACGGCTCCAAAGCAGAGGAAATATCAGCATCACAGCACAAACAGTAGTTAGAATATAGTACATGAAATTTGCAAAGTCCGTATTCCCTGATGACTCTAATAGAAATAGCAACCTAGGTACTGTGAAGTTAATCACTGCTTCTGGACAGAACATGAAATAATTCGCACTTCTAAGAACAAAAGAAATGAGCGACTGATGGGAATCAAAGTTTCCCAAATTTTCCCATGCATGCTGCAACTTCAGTGGGATCTGCACAAAATATCAGTATCACCTATTATACAGTTTTTAAAGTGCATTTCATCCGTTTGAGAAAGTAATAAAGTCTCAGCTGGACACAGGGACTCACAATCAAAGGAAATATTCTCAACAGCGTCATTCACAGCGAAGAGAGATCAGAGAAAACTTATCCTTTCCGTTCCCAGTGTGTACACATTGACAGTGAGGTAACAGGCGCCGCTCTGCCTAAAGACAAGGCTCTCTACATATCCCACCACTAGAAAAAAAAAAACCGAGTAAAATTACACTCCAGAAGCCTGCAAAGTTCTTTTCTCTCTTGATCAGAATTAGTACAGTTTTCATCCCCGGAGGGTCAGGTGGTAGCCTTACTATCTCACAACAGTTTATCATGCCAGTGAGCATGGAGAGCACATGGATTGGTTTATTTCGATCAATTCAGCATCCTTATTACATGCAGATATTAGAAAACAGTCATTTTGATCCATGAATACCAGTCCCGTGTTTCTTGGAAGACTTATTCAATTTTCCAAATATGTAACGTTCGGATCTGTTTCACAGCATTCTACTATTTTACGTTTCTACTTCCTACATCATTTGCAATGCCGACTTATTTACTGTGCATGTGTATTATCTGCTCAAAAATCAATTTTATTTAGAACCAAGGAATTCTTTCACAGATGAATATTTAAATCACCACCCTCTGAAATAATACTTTATTTCTCATACTAGATAGAATTAATATTTCAGTTAAAGAAGTACTGAAATATTCTCTACAGTAACAAGGAAAGGAAAATCTGCATGCCAGCAGCACCTGTAATGAAAATGCTGTTTCGGAGTCAATGTGCAGGCGCTGGGAGGGCTGGGGGATGACACCACACTGAGTAACACTTGTATGTAACACATGAAGTCATTTGCAGCAAAATGCAAAAGAACCAGTAATTAAAAAGAAAAAAAAAAGCATCTTGAAAGCTATTGGTAGTGACAGTAACAACGCAATTCCTCACTACCCACAAATATGGTGCCAATATCTAGGAGAAGATGTCTTTATTTCTGCACAGCGTGTCATGAACTGGAACACCACTGCGAACGCACAGATGTCAACACCACTGCAGTACAGGCAACAGCCCTGAAGCTGGTTTTTCCAATCTGCAGAAGAACAAGGGCCAAGAGAGACAACTAAACCACTGGAGATTTCAGCCAAAACAACAGAAAGATTTACAGATAACTGAAATCCAGGGAAGGGGACAAAGCAATAAGCAAAGACTAGTTTCAGTACATCAGAAGGCATGGAAGATTTATTGTTGAAGCAGAAGTCTGAGTATGGAGCTGTCTGCGGCAGGAATAACGGTTATAGCACAGGACCACTTGAAACCAAAGCAAGAACTTCATCGGACTAACGAACAATTTGGGAGCCAAAATTCTCAGAAAAAGTACTCCCCTCTTAAAGAGCAACTGCATCAAAATGCAAACACCACAGGTAGAGAACAAAAACATCTTTTTGTTTGTTTTAAAAAAGCAAAGTAAGAAGTATACACTAATATAGCCAGTCAAGCCAGACTGTTTACACCTTAATACAAAGGCAGCTCTGATAAGACTAGATTTTCATTTCGAGATGGAATTCTGTGCAGACAGAATATGAACACTGCTGGGATTACCAGTGGCTGTCTCAAACATAAAGAATGCATAAAAATTGCAAAAACTGCCACTTTTTCATCTCTTAAAACTCCGAAAGTGATAAGAAAAAAAATGGGTTGAAGACACAGGCAGTTTAGAAGCAAAATTTCAGAACCAAGATGTACCGGAACAGAAGTTTGAGGCCGTATCAGCCAAGACCACTGAGCAGGTCTTCACAAGGAAACAAAAGTTCTACTTTTAAGTGTGAAGTTGTCTGCTAAATCATTTTCAAAGATTTATTTTTTTCTGTCTGGGCAGGGCCTATGATGCAGAAAGTTGGCTGCTGTCAAGGGGGGTGTATACACTTTACTAAAATCTGACAGAGTTTTTTATAAAAAACCTACTTGACCCAGAATGAATTATCAACATACAAATAAGGTTTGGTTTTTTTAAAGTAAACCAAATAGATGGGGTTTGGTTATTTTGTTTTTGTTTGTTTTTTTTAAAAAAAGTATCTGGCAAGGCTGGTTTTGATAAAGCTAGAGCGTTCTGCTAACCCACTTGGAAAGCTGTGTGCGTGGTGCAAACTGCCGCCTGCAGCTCTTCTCTTTTACTGTTCTCCAACGGCTGGCAGAGAGAACAGGAATGGAAGGCTACAGAACTGCGTACAGATGTTCATAAAGCCAAAGAGATTACGAGTGGAAGCTTCTGGATAATCCAGGAAACACAGAGAGAGCTGAGACCACACTTCCACTGTCAGGAAGGCTCAAATCCTTACATGAACCAATTAATTTTTCAAATCAGAATCTGCTAGCGTAGTAACTTACCATGTCACGTATGAATCATTTGCTCATGGCGTGAGGGGAAAAGCAAGATCCCTGAGGCTGCAAAACTGGTAGTAATCTCTTAGCCAGCATTAAAGAAAATAGCACTAAAACTTAAGGGCATATTTCCCACTTCCAAGAGATTCCTGTTTCTATTGCTTCTCTAATACGTAATTATGGCTATGCAGGAGTAAGGTTTAGCAATTCAAATATTGATTTAATTAATAACTCCTTGACAGACCTATTTTAGATTTAAACAGATCAGGGCACTCATCCGTTAAATGGCTGATTTTAGTACCAGGCCTAACTACGCAGTAGCATTTTGAATTTTAACAACCTACAAGCAAAAAACGTTTGCAACAAAAGGGCCTCAGGTAGTGGAAGTAGACATCACCTGGAAATCACACTGTTCTGTTGCTACAAATGAAGCCAAAGTGATCACCAAGTGCATCAAAGGTTATAAACTGGGTATATAAGGATGTACAACTTTGAGAAAATTACAGGGAAAAATAGAAAAAAAAAATCAGAGATACAGAGGGCTTTGGAAATACAACAGGCCTAGGATCTTAAATTTTAAATACTTAGTTGAAGGACAGGCTGTAGGGCAGTTTACTGCTATTTGTAGCTACCTGAAAAAGAAGTATCATTCAGACGCGTTTGAACTATACAGTAATATGTTACACAAAGAATTCAATAAGTTAAACAGAGTTTGTTCCATTACCACATCAGATGCTAGCTAGCCTTGAAATCCTCTTCCCTCAGAACATGGCTTAACAGAATTCGAGGGTTCCATAGGTGGGGAGAGAGGAGAACAGTTACCTTGGATGCCACCGTTACTTACTTAATGAAACAACTCTTGCTTCCCAACTGGGACCCGTGAGGAATCTTCCCACTAGACATGCTGGCAACTGGCATTGCCTGGTGCCATCAGCATAGGGAGCAAATCAAACCCAAATGCGTCTCTGTGAATTACAGGTCACTGCTAAAGTTGAGGCTTTTATAGCCGGGTAAGTAACTATTTAAATACTCTTTGTTTTAATTTTAGTCAGGTAACTGATTTAAGTTGGGGGGGTCGTTGTTGTTTCTAATGTGAAATGGAACTGTCAGCTGGCTTGCGCAGGGAGAAAAGGCCAGCGCAGCAGGGCGTTTGCTCCCTCCACCAGCTCCCCCAAAGAGCTGCGCAGAGTTACTGGCAGCGCTCCTGGAGCCCACGGGGGTTCCAGCTGTGCTCCGCAACAGGGCAAGGTCTGCGTCTCTGCTCCACACCCACACCTGGCAGCAGGAGTCTGGAGAGTGCCTTTAGCAAGAAAGGAATCCTGCGCAGGGAGGACTGACCCTGCACTCTGACTCCTCTCAACTGACACAGAATGCCTCAGCTCTACCTTGGTTTGCTACAGCTCCTCACCCCACAACGGCGTAAGGGCATCCTATGCATTAGTGCAGGTAGGAACACAACCACTTAGAGAGGCAGTTTAACTGAATTATTTTTTGCAGACCCAAAAATAAAACCAATCTGTTATTATGAACCTTTATTAAGCGGCTCACATTTCAGTATAAATCACACTAAAAAGATTTTTAAAAAAGATATTTACACTACAGTGCTGACACATTTAAAATGAAAAAATTGGTATAAATAAGCTCTATGGAAAAGCCTGGAATTGTCAAAAAGAATTCTGGCTCATCTTACAAAAAATATATATGTTAAATGTCAGCTCTACTCTAAAACCTACAACTCAAAATTATTTAAAGACTTCTTTATGTTAAACCTGCAGTGTTTACAGTGCATCTGGCCCTAAGTGCTTTGATACTTCACAGTTATGGACAGGCACTGAGGAATGTTACAAAGCTACATAACTATTTTCTGTAACAGATGCGAAGGCAAGCCACAAACTTGCCTCACAGAATTTATGAATCTTTACATTATTACATCATTAAGTTTAAAAAGGAATTTAAAACCATATATACAAATTTAGCACAAAAAATCATCGTCTCTTTGTCCATGCAGTTTTGGATATGATGAACTATGTTGTCTTGTATCATCTGGATATACGTGACCTCCAGGGCACAACTTGCCTTGTAAGTCCTTGTGGCCAGGTTCAAATTTAGAATCCATTTCCAACTTAAATGCTGTCAATTCAACATGATCCAATCTAGTCTGAATATTCTGGCCCTCGACGTCATTAGGCGCCACTGGCTTTTCAGCAAGATCAACATTCATGGGTTCTTCTTTTATTCGGTGAGATGCAACAGGTTCATGTTTCATCGGCATAAATTCCTGCTGCAGATACTTCGTCTGCAGAGCATCTGAGAATTTGGTGTCTTCGGAGGTATTTTTGCTCACCATACAAATTCTGCTGTCAGTCTGCAGTCCAACAACCGAAGACTTGGGGTCTGCAGAGGTCCCTGCTTCAACAGGACTCGTTTCTTCCTCTGAATGATACAGCTTGAGCCGGATGTGCCAAGCCAAACTGCACACAGCTGAAACTGTTTTGAACTGGTGCACAACATTCCTTGGGATAAAGTAAATGTCATTATCGAACAACTGAATTCTGGCATATCGAATGCCTTCCCTTCGCAGCTGATTAAGTTTTGCATCATCAACCCACTGGACACACTGGAGGAAAAAAGGGGTGAAAAAAAAAGGGGGGGGTGAAAACTCTGGCTTAGTACTCGCAGAAGACACGTGATCAAGAGTTCATAGCATGCTTACCTGTGAGAGTGGAGGCTCATGCAAATCTAGTTGCAATCGCTGAACTACCTCTAAGAAGTCTTCAGCATGAAAACAAATTACATCTTTGGTTATACGAGGCTGCTCAGACCTACAGAAGATAAGAATTTGAAAGTCAGAGGCTGGAACTAACATGCTATGGAGAATGATAAAAAAAAAATCTGCAAGCAAGGATAAAGAAAACGATAAAACAAAGCAACAATTCTAGCGTAACCTATGTTCTGAAGAAAAAACGTTGACTAAAATGGCTCTCAAACACTACCTCATTAAACTGGTTAAATGAATTAACTACAATTTCTTTACAAGCAGCAGTAAAAGCACCAATGAAAGGTCAACAAAACTCACTACTATCAATTTTTATTTTTCACTGACCTCCATCTGTCTTAATGCTGAAAGACAGATGCCCCAGATATGCTGGGCTTACTCTGTCAACAGTCGAACATGATATGCCCGTCAGGTACCTCAAAGTACGCCGCAGTCTGACTAGTATTACGGCAGACATTGCTTCGTATCTTAGCCTCAAACACCTTGTTCAGAGTTAGGAGTAAAACAGAATTTGCATTAAGCTGCCACAATGCTAGTGAGCAGCAAATACTGGCGTCCTCCACAAATCATCCCTTAAAAATACATTCCTATTTGTGCTCACTAGAGAGCTACCAAAAAGCAAAATCTGCATTAGGGTTTGTCTCTGCATTCACACTGTTAGCAGAATTCACCTCCTGTCCCACAACATCTCCCCCCTAAAAAATGCACCCCGTTTACATAACTCCTCTAGAGATTATCAAGAATTAGCTAGCACAAAACAAAAATGCTGCGATCCGTATCACTTTCTGACCTAGAAGCCAAACTCAGTTCTCCAATGGAAACATATAAAACTCAGCTCTGTGTGTTTCTTTTTGAGGGTTGTTTAGCTTTTAAAAGGTTTTTTAAAAATGCGGAGATCTGAAGACGCTATTTACTTGGGATGAAGCTCACACTAGGGTGGTTTTACCAACAGAACCGCCTGGACGGCGCAGAAATTTACTTAATGGATGGTCAAGCATTCTTCTTCCAAAGCAGCATGATAACCATATATATATATATATATATTTTT